TTTCTAACATCGTATATGTAGAATTCCACCTACTTTCAACATCAAGACTTAAGAGGCCATGGGTGTCTAGCTTAGTCTTCTCAACATATGACTTGAAAGAGGCAAACCTAGAAGCAGAAGACTTGACATATTTCACTGCATTCCTTATGCGAGAAATTGGCTCAATTTGTTCATCTAAACCTTCTTTTACAATTATGTTCAAAATATGAGCATTACATCTAACATGTAAAAACTCATTTCTCAATATGACCCCTTTCCAATCATCAATACGTGCCTTCAAATGCTTAATGGCAGAATCATTGGCAGATGCATTATCCAGAGTCACTGTAAACAAGTTTTCAATTTCCCAATCCAACAAACATGCTTCAATACCTTTAGCTATAGTCTCACCCTTGTGATCCGGAGTTTGGAAAAAATTAAGAATCTTTTTCTGTAAGTTCCATTCATCATCAATCCAATGAGCAGTCACGACCATATAAGTCAAATTTTGAAGTGATGTCCATGTATCACTAGTAATACATATGTGTTGATTCTTGACAAGTTTTTTAAGCTTCTCTTTCTCTTCTTGATAGATCTTCAAACAATGTCTAGCCACAGTTACCCGTGAAGGTAATTCAAAATTAGGCAAAGCTTTGGCCATCAATTTTTTAAAACCTTCCCCTTCAACAACTTTAAATGGTTGTTCATCAATAATGACAAATTCAGCGATGGCCCTCCTGATATCCTCCACATTGTACACAACCTTTTCTATAGAACTTGTTCCATTTTCTTGTCCCCCTACTTTGATTGGTACAGCTTTCAAAGTTGTTTGCCTTCTATCAACAAATCTAAAGGGAGATTTGAGACATTTGTCATTTAAATGTGACCACAATACAGAGGTTCCATTTGTTTTTGTCTCAGCAGCAAAGTGTTTTACACAATAGTTACATTTTGCTCTTCGTTTACCTCCTTTAGCAATAAATTTAGCAAAGTGATCCCAAATTTGTGACGTTTCTCTCCCAGTATTACCATCTGTAGGAATGGAATCTATTGGGGTTGTTCTTTTTTGCTTTTTAGGAGGAGTGCGGAGATGAGGAGTGCTTTTACCTTTCTTTTGAGGTATTGATACAACCGGAGGACTGTCGATTATCATTTCTACATCAGTTCCAGCCGTATTCTCCATCTAAGGAAGCAAAACACAAAAAATTAAGACTTGTAGCAGCAGCCAACAACGATTCAAAATAAAGTTACTCATTTGCAAGAAAAAGTAAGTGACGAACTTCATTGATAAATTTACATTTGCAAGAAAAAGAAAAAGAAAAACATACCTGACTATCTATAGACAAGCAGATGAATGAGAAGAATGAGCAGATGAAGATTGAGCAGCTCTAGGGAAAGTGGAAAGATTGCAAAGTGGATAGTGAGAAATGAGAATATGACTAGTTTCTAGAGTTTTAACTTTTA